CTCCATCTTCACCTCAGAATTAAATGCCATTTATTATACAGTTTTATTTATTTCTAAACTATGTGGAAGTTTAGACGTGGAAGACAATTTATAATTTATGCAGACTTGTTTAGTGCTCTAAAATCTTTAGAATCGTATTATAACCCTCAAAACCCCATTATCTCTGACATTTTAACTTTGAATCTGAAATTATTGAGCCTATGGTGATTCCTATCATGTTTTACCTATATGTTTTACCACCAATCCTCACATTCCATATCACAGATAATGTTCTTACTGCATCAATATAAATATTAACTAGACATAGTGGACAATAAAAATTAAGCTTTATTTCGGAACTTCGTGCATACTCCTCGACAGCCGGCCTGTTTCGCTCTGCTCGCTACTCGTAAGAAACTTCTCCTCTAGTGTTGCCACATTTATCAGAGGGTTCAAGGCGCTCTCCTTATCGCCATCACCACAGAGTTCCCCCCAGTTCCTTTGATGGCCATTCAAAGGAACGACATCAGGTTATGAAAATATCTCAGAGGATCCGTACTGACGGGTATGTTTTTCATAATTTCAAAATTAGAATATAAAATTAGAAAAGATCAAAATGCAATTCAATATATAACAAGGTAATGATACATATAATAAACATGAAATAACAAAAAATATGTTACAATATGAATTTTTTAAAAAAAAAAGTATTAAATTGTTATGTAAGAAGCAAGTTTCTTAGGGAAGTGAACATGTCTTCCCGATCTGGTGACAGTTTGTGTTTTAGAGAGTTCGTTTGCAGATTTATTCTGCTGAACTGTCTTTATTTGTTTCCAGTTCAGGCAAATTAGAGTCCGAAAGTAAATAAGCTGGTTTCACATGGTCTATAGACACAGTAGATTTCAGACCGTTAATATTTGATTGTGAAAGTTTTGTCCATTCTAGAAAGGACTTTATGTGAACCTGTATATGGTTGGCATAGAGGTGGCTTTACTCAATTGACACGTAAGTATACATGCGTACACGACTTTAAGGTAGCACTTACGTAACACTTTTCTTGGCAATGTGCAGATGTTGCTATTGGATTTGATTTTTGCTTTCTATGCTGAAGATTTGTGATAAATTGAGTGTCATACGGAGATATCTTAGACGATGTTATCATATCACTAGGCAGCTTGAGAGTTGTGCCGTACACCAGTTCAGCACAAGGTGACTGTAGATCCTCCTTAATGGCTGTCCAAATACCAAGCATAAGAACTGGTAGTATTTCAGTCCAGTTATTGGTCTCGTGAGCCTTGAGAAAAGATTTTAAATGTTGATGAAATCGTTCAACAATGCCGTTAGACATTGGATGATAGGCTGTTGTTGTGATTCTGTTCATACCCAAAATGTGCGTAAATTCTGCAAAAATTGCGGATTTCATTTGAGAACCTTGGTCTGTTGCTATGATCGATGGGCAGCCAAAATGAGATATTCAACAGTTAAAGATGGCTCTGCAAATGGTTTCCGTTTTCATATCTGGGATGGGAATGGCTGTAGGCCATCTGGAGAATCTATGTATTAAAGTCAAAAGGTACACGTTACCTTCTGATGGAGGTAACGGTCCAACGATATTCATATGGATTTCTGAAAAACGTGCATCAGGAAGAGAGAATGTGCCCAGTGGTGCTTTAGTATGCCTAGTAATTTTCGATTTTGTGGCAAGATTCACAGAATTTCAACCAATTTTTTATATGACGTTTCATATCTGGCCATACATGACGAGAACAAATAAGCTTCGTACTAGCTGCAATTCCTAGATGTGACAAATTATACAGATGATAATTCAGAACAAATGGATGAGGAATGTCCATTGATATGTCACAAAGAATATTACCATCAGAATATTGGCACGGTTTAAATTCCAGTTTCAAAGATGATGTATTGTTTTTGAGAAGGTCTTGTACCTCCGGATCATGCTGTTGAGCTTCCGAAATTTTTTTTAAATCCAAAAATGGAGATTTTGCTATGGAATCAATTTCAATTCTTGAAAGAGTGTTTGCAATGACGTTTTTTGAACCTTGCACATGCCTGATATCAGTAGAGTACTGAGAAATAAAATCTAAATGGCGCGATTTTCGAGGTGAACATTTATGAACATTTATGCCTGCATTTTTCTCGCAGCCGACGGTTTTAAACTGCGTTTTTAAATTTTTGAGACATTTGTTTCTGAGATCATGCACCAATTCAAAGAAATGGAAAAAATCTGCTCCAAGAATGGGTGTACTAACATTTGCTATAAGAAAAGTCCATGTAAACTGTCGTCTTAATTTGAAATCCAAAGAAAGTGTTTTTTGACCATAAACATTAATAGTGGAAGAATTAGCAGCGAAAAATGTTTGTTGGGGAGAATTCCATTTTAGAGAATTATTTGCTGGAAGTAAGGACACGTCAGAGCCGGTATCGACCAAGAATGAAAGGTTTGTTCTACGGTCACGAACAAACAGGCGACGTGAAACTTGAGGCAAAGAATAAGTCGCCTCTATTCTTTGCTGGTTTCGTTTCCCTGCCATGAACAAGGTTTTGTACATTTGTCATCTCTATACTTTTTCCCAAAACATCTATGATACCAGCAAACAGAATAATCTCTCCTTTTGAAATTGCTTCTTTGTTATTCCGATCTCCGCGATTTGGCGAGCAACCATGAGAAAGAGAAATGTGATCAATACCTTTGTTTAATTTTTCTATTTCTTTAAATAATTTATCCTCAAAAGACTGATCGACTGTGCGAGAAATGGCACAAGTCCCTGGTGTTGGATTTACTTCTAAAATTCTATCAGCAATTTATCAATTAATGAAAAGTATACTTAAATATATTGAAAAACAAATTTTTCAGACTAAATAATATTAAATAACCACAATTAAAGACTTTCAGATGTGTGATGTCCACATACTGTTATTTTTCGTTTGTTCTCCTCTATTTTTCAATTTAGAATTATTAAAAAATTGTATCGTAAGTGTAATTGAATGAAATACAGTGCGAATCGGTGATAATTCAAACCCGAAAATAGTTTATATCTTTTTGTATGATATTATCTGCTATTTGAAATAATTAAAGTACTTCTGCTAATGTACTCTGGGTTGGTTTCATATCACAGAAATGATGGAAATTTGGCAAACTAATAACATGAAATTTCTTTTATTAATAAATTTTTAGTTATTTAGCCAATGAATTTTTGCGCTACCTTTCCCCCTCCTTTTTCAATTGCATCGCTAGTTTAAACCTCTTAAATATTGATAAAAGTAAAGTAGAATGTATTTTTTTAAAGACGCATACCTGTTAAACTTATTAGATTTAAAGGCTTGGAGAATTTTAAGTTTGAAATTTCAGTTTTCTTCAAAGGAGCTCAGACTGAAGTTTCATTTAAAAAATTTTCCATGCGTGAGATTATGATTGTGTTGAGGTTCCTTTCATACTGGAAAACCTTGTGATGTGAATTCTGATTCTTCTGATGATAGGAACAACAGATTTTACAATTAGCGAAGGAAAAAGAATAACTGGACAAATGTTTTTATGAATCCTGAAAGTAATAACAGTTCCCTAAACCAGATGGGAGAGATGGATAGATTTTCGTATTAAAAATTGCAGAAAGCGATTTTTGTATTAAAAACTGTGAAAAGCCTTGCCAGTGCTGAAATGCTGCCACAGATTTCCCTTACGAATTCATTGAATTAACTTAAATGGTTGATATGAAAATGGACATTTCTTCTAAAACAGAAAAAGAAAGATGTGTACTATCTTCCCGAGAGAGTTGATGAAAAATGATATCACTCATTACTTGAGAGTCTTGTATAGAGATGCCATTCCATGTGCCTGTGTAATTTTTTTCTTCTGATCGTTGCTGATTAGTTTCAAAGGAGAAAGAAAGCTCTAATTAACCCTCTGAGCAGCCCGGGTTTTGGGATCTGTTATGAAGACCTGTATTGAAAGAGCCTTTATTAGCTAAATATATGTATTTATCTATATTAGTCTCTATTTTCATAAACTTATATTCATCAAGATGGAAATTACATTATTAATGAAAGTAAGAAAGCAAAATATCTTAAATTACAAGTGACGTAAAATCTCATGACCAGATAAAGCCGTTCATGGCGCTCAGAGGGTTAGAAGATTGTTGAAAAGGCCTCTCTCTGAAAATAAGTGATATCCTTTGTGATGCAATGGAGTTGATCATCGTATTAAAATAATTCATGAAGGTTAAAAATACTACTGATAGTTTTCCCTGGAATCTATAAGGCCTAATTATAGTCTCTAGACCTTTAAAGTAGAGACTTGTAAATCTGGAGCTGGCATTAATTTGTATATGAGCATCTGATTTCTCTAAGCAGCTTACTGAGACAACTCATATGTATGCAAAATCATTTTTCAAATGCTTGTCCAGATGTTTCATAGCGGAGCTATTTATTGATAAAACAAGATTTTCATATTTGCTTAAAATTTTCCAAATGCTCAGTTTGCTTAATGAATGTATATGAGAGTTGCTGACAAGAAATACATTTGAAAGTTCAAGGAAAAAAATGTTCCATGGGAATTGATTTAATATTATATAATATTAGTAATGCAAAATAAGTTGCAATTTTTATGCTATCTAGACAAGAAAAATATGATAAAAGTCTTGGCAGAATGTTTATTGAAAATAACTTGCATTTCAATTTAAATCGTGTATTATTGTGTGCGAATGTTTAGCATTTCCCTACTTTAGTTTAAATTCCTGTTGTAAAATTTAAAGTCCCCTTATTGTTATATTTGAATTTATATTATAAAATATGTATTTTCAATCTCCTTTTTATTTGGATAATGTATTTTGACCATCTTACATAAATAATTTGTGCAGTTGACAAAGTGTCAAACATTAGAAGGCTATAGCTGACCTTAAGACATATTAATAATAAAATATGTGAAATTCTTTTCCTTTTTATGTAAAAGTACACTTGGAACTTTAGATATTTAATGCTCTTTTTGTATTCTGTTGGATTTTCAGCTATAAGGATGAAGAAACATGTACTCATACCTTAAAATGTGATTCAGCTCTCTGCTCTGTTTTTGTAACAGGAAACAGTCATTGCATCATAGGCACTAAGGTAAAATTTTGAATAGAATTTTATAAAAACAACAATAATGAATGATAACATATATAAATGCATTATTTTTACATGGAATTACAGTATTTCATGCTATTAACCTTCCAGCATGTGCGCTTGGCAATCTTACATGAGCATGCGCACATCATATTTTTTACGATATCCATTATTTTACTGTTTTGGGCACGAAAAATGACAGAAATGAGTGAATATTGATAATAAATTTGTTAGAAATAAAATATTAACCTTATTATTGCAAAATACAAATGATATCACATTCAAATATAATTATTTTTAAGTTCTTATGTTAGTGAGATGAAAAATACAATGATGTAGTTCATTATAGAAAATTTTAAATTTATTATTTAAAATCGAAGCAAATTTTAATATTCATCAAAGGCAAGTATAGACAAATAAAAAAGGAAAATACACTCACCTTGGTAGGAACAACTGCAAGTTTAGCATTACTTACTTCTGCAAGGGAATTTACTTCTTACTGGTTACAAAAATGTACTTTAAACTATAACAAGATTCGTACGGTCCTTAAAAGTCCTTAATTTTTTCAAAAATGATTTTTGGTCCTTAAAAGTCCTTAATTTTGGCCAAAATGAATAAAATGTCCTTAATTTTGCTCATTTGACATTTCTTATCATTTCTAATGATTGCCATTCTAAGTGTGAATTACGATTTCTTATGAATATGGAATTAAAATTACACGGCTCTTAACCAATTTGTTGGCGGATTTGCATTGCAAACGATTAAAAAAACAATTAGCTACCCGAACGAAAGTATCGGTGTCTGATTGGCTATTCACCCAATCTTTCAAAACAGGTGTTATATATAAATTTAGGCAGACTGTGACGAGAGCGTGAAGCCGGCATGGACCGTATAAGAGATAGACTAACCCAGTGGGCGGGGCGCGCGTCACCGACATGTCGGCAAGAAAGAGTAGGGACTATCTGGTTTACTTTAACAGTGAAACCTATGCCGTTTGTATCACATAACTCTTTTTAATTATTAAATTGTGATACGTTGTATAGTGATGAGATTATGAAAGTCACAGTTTTTTCCAAATAGGATTTAATATATCTCATTAAAAGCACTTTTTACTGCATTTTCGCGCATTTTTTTCACGCGTAATTCTTGTACAAACACATCTTTACTTTGGTAAAACACTAAAAACTCTAAAGCACAAAATTTATTAATGAGCTTAATTTTGCTTAAAAATAAAGTAAAATTAATCAGCCTGAGATTGATAGTATGCGATGCTTAACAATAATAAATAAGGTAAAAGTAAACAAGATCTGATATATATATATATATTTTAATTTAATGAAGCATTTTCAGGCAGTGATTTTCCAAACTATAACACGTTACAAAATGATCATATTTATTTGATTATATGATCATTAAATTATTAACATCAAAAGTGGATTAGTTATTTTAATAATTCATAAAATTAGGAGCATAAACTTTTCTGAGCGTAATGAAGGAAAAAAAAAAAAGGATAAAATAAAATCTAGAAGCATTTGGATTTTTTTACGCCCAAAGAACTTGTTTGTAACGTTTGTATGTTACCTATATTTATTGAATATCAAGTTCTTCACCCGTAAATCATATAAAATTCAATTCAACAGCAATATACAAAATATTTGAAAACAGCATATCATAGAATTTCCGCCTGGAGATAAAAATATTATTTTTCCTACAGTGCTGCCAATGCTCTTTGAACTCGCTGAGTTTGTTAATCAAAAATTTGTTAAAATTTTACAAAATATGAAATATATTAAAACAAATTCGAAATTCGGCCGTTTAGATGCCTATGTTCGGGTGGAGGATTCAGGGTTGCCACGCTACCTGGAAAACCGGGAGAACCGGGAAAAGTCAGGGAATTCGAAAATTGACCAAAATATTCAGGGAAAAGTCAGGGAATTTAAGTATTTTTGTCAAAATCTGGAAAAGTCAGGGAAGTTCATACAACAATCCCGCCAAAAAAAGCGATTTTTGCGCCGACGTCGGAAGAGGTAACTTTTTTGGCGAATTATGCATCACGTGAGTAGCTCCAATTTGATTGTCTTTTAGAAAGGCAAAGCAACTTTTGGTTTCCAGTATTCTTGAGAATCGCATGTGCAGTGCATGAACTAAAGAAAGTACCTGTTCTCGTATAAAACAAAATGGGTTTAATCCTAGTATACGGTACCATGGAGGTTAGAATCAAAGAAATATGTATTGTAAAGAAGGAAAACCTCTCTGCAACAGACGTGGCTGTGGCTCCGTTCCATCATAGAGGGAAACAGCTGTGCAGGTCTGATATATCTGTTGCCAAAGCTCGAAACCGGTGTCGAAGTTCGAAGGTCACGTTATCAAGAGTTCATAAAATGAATATCGTTTAAAATTTCTTTAACCACTTGCGCTAAAAAGACGTGCCACGCACGTCAAGATGCTTTTGTCTCAAACCGCGAGCGACGTGAACACCACGTCGATAACCATTTATCGCAAAAATGAAAATAACGTGGTGCACACGTCGCCTAACAACGAGATTGTTTATTTCTCGAGTTGCAGCTCTGGATTGCACTCGCAGATGCGGAGCGGCGTAAGTGAGACACTTTACCGCTTGTTATATTGTAGCGCACGGCACCGCAACCGTGAAGTTTAGTCTTAGCGGAATTGGTTAAACTCTAAAGGAAAAGAAAATATTTTTTGGCGCAAGTAAATTAATTCATGGATTAGTTATTTTCAGGGGGAAAAAAAAAAAACTACGAAAATTCGTTTTTAAAATTATTGCGAATAATCCAAGAAGAAACGTCCTTTGAACGTTTCTTCTTGGATTTTTCGCAATAATTTAAAAATGGATTTTCGTAGTTTTCTTTTTGTCAAAGAGTGTTTCTTCTTAACACGTGTTTCTCAATTTCCTGTACACATCGCGGAGAGGGAAATTCTGGCCGCCAGGTTCCGTAGCCAAATCCCTTGGCAAATTTTCCCTCCGCATTCTAGCGGCGTAATAGCATTTTACTTGTATGGAACCTTTTCTTCTTTACATAGACGTTCTTTGGTTAGAATAATAATGGGATTTGGCGACATCTTGATGCGCAATAAACGGGTCATTTTGGTCTTGGCGACAATTTTCAAAATCGTGCCAAAGCCTTACCGTATACTAGAATTTTACCACAAAATCTTTTTAAACCTTTTTTTTTTTTTCTTTTTAATAAATATCTTGTCATTTTGCATTAAAATAAAAAAAAAATAGTAATCAGTCATCTAGGCTAGCTATGTAATATAACTATATTCGCTAAAATATCGTTGATTATTCTAATTCAATTTTTAAGTAATTATTTTTATGGTTTTCATATAATTTAATGTTGCTTCTTCCCTCTAAATTTATTTATTATTAGTAAATAATATTTCCAAATTTCAGGAAATTTTCTCTGTCATAATCCTGAAATTAATTATAGCAGTATGATAACATACCATCACGAAATTTAATGCACATATTTTTTCCTTATGTATGCTGCGAAATAAATATAAAATACCTCAATTTATTAAAATAGATTTCTTTCTTTTGTTTAGCTGCAGAATGTCTGCAAAAAAAGCCTTATTTTATTCCAGATTGGGAAGATTCTAATCTCAATCTTCAATGGAGAAAACAACAACTATTATAATTATATTTGTGTTTTCAAGTGTTAAGGTGCCTTTTAAGAACATACCTCACGCAAATTAAATTTACTTAAAATCTAACCGAACTATTTAGCATTGCGTTGTGATTTATAAGGACCGGATTAGCTTCGTGTTGAACTGGTGATGATCATGAGTAATAATTAAATAAAACATACATTTGTTATCCAATATATATATATCTTAAATTTTATAAAGTTTCTTAAGTGGAAAACTAAACAAAATTATCAAACAAAGTATACCAAGAATAATTAAGAATAAATGTCCTCTGAGATTTCTTGAATAATTAAGTGAATTTGCTACACAATACAAGTAATACCATAATTAATTTACATCTTAGCACAGCCAGCGTACATTACGCGGATAGACTGGAATTTTCTTGAAACACACCTGGAAAACCTGGAAAAGTCAGGGAATTTCATTCTCCTGTTTGAGTGGCAACCCTGAGGATTACATTATTCAAAATTCGATGGCTCTAGATACTGTCGTTTTTGTCACAGTGCGAGAAACATACATGTATTCGTGCATGGGCTAATAAATTAAATTAACAATAAATAAAAAAAAAAATCTTATGCAGAACTAAAAATAAATTAAAAAAAATAATCATTATAAAATACAAGCAAAATTAATTATTATGGTTAAATACAATTTTAATATTAGAATTAAATGAAAAAAAATTATTAAGGAGTCAAAAGTGTTTATCACTATGATGTATTATGAAATATAATTGAAATAAAATTCCCTTATAGAAATGTGCTATAATACTCATCTATAATTTAAAAAAGGAGCACAATTAGAATTTTAAACAAAACTTTCAAAAATTCGTTTTTAAGTATTTTATATTTTTTACTTATTTACACACACCACACACACACAAAAAAAAAAAAAAAAAAAAAAAAAAAAATTGCAAGAGAAAAATTGCTTGTTTGAAATTTTCTATTAGTTAGATTTAAAATATTATTTTCTAAAAGAAGTAGTTACAAATTTCCTTACAGCATAGGAAAAGCTAAAAAATATCCAGTCCTGAAAGCATGCAATAGCTTTATAATTATTTGGAATGTTAATTATGCTCGATAAATATGCTACATTTTTAAAAATCAATCTCAATTTCAAAAATAAAAACATGTAGAAATTCTAATTTGTGAAATGAGGCGCTACAACCAGCTTTTTCTTGACAATTATACACGCTGCAATAGGCAATCAATGTAAATTTCTGGAAGTCGTCCCTACTCCTCCGGATGTGATGAAGGTGACACCCGGCAATGCCTCAGACAAGGGAGAAAACCCATTTGGGTTAGTCTATTTCTTATAAGGTCCATGGAAGCCGG